CTAGGCACTTGTAGTGCTCCTAATGCAGTCAACAGCAATCGGATCTCTCCACGTCTCTCTCGACTCTTCACGATCTTGACTCTCCCAAGCATGACTTCTGAAATCCTGTTTTCTATCCATTCCTCGAAATTGCAACCATGGCTGAAAGAAATACAACCCATGCAGAGGATTGCAGATACAACAAACTGCATCCTAATCTCAACTCTTGACGTGTATTTTGCAGTGCGTGAATGTTTTACTCCTGCCTTACACTGTCCAATCTTCATCTTTTCTTTGCGTGATGTTCACAAAGTGTTTCAAGGGATGTATCTCTGGAAGCCAAGGCTTAATGTCCAGCAGGCTCTTCATAGTAGTCTGGGTTATAGGAGTTTCTCTTCATCTGTTCTTAGTCATGCAGCTCATGACCTTAACATCACCCGCCTGTGGATGCATGAGTGTTTGCGCACTTTTGGTGATCGGCTAGCTTCAGGGGAGGCATGCCAAAAACTTCTCTCAGTTATAGCTGAAGTTTCTGAGAAGAATTTTGGCACTAGGTTGTCAAGTGAATCTACAGAAGGTATATCAAGCCCTACAGATCAATCATCTGTATCAAGCACACATAATGTAAACCAGCAACTGGATTCAACCCCTTCCCAGTTGGAAGAGAATGTGATTCCCTTGCTTGGAATGGCAGAAGTTCAGACAGAGAGGAAAGAGAGCTATGCAGTAGAGAACAACTCCAGCTTGTATAACCCAGGAAGTGATGAGGATGGTAAAGATGAAGTAAAAGATGATGGAAATGCCGAAAGTGAACCAGGAACATCAGAGTGTATATCTGAATCTGCAACTGAATTCTCAAGTTGTTCATCTCAAATGCATCTAAAATGTTCTCATTCTGGTGAAAACAAATATGACTGCATTAATCAAAAACCAGAATCACATGAAGAGTTAACCACACAACATATGCCTTTAACAACAACCACAGCAAAAACATTCATTCAGCTTCTACAGGAAGCAGCTTCTTCCATCCAGAATGTGGTCTTCAGTCCAGAATTTTGTAAACCATTAAACAACATACTTCAGCATCATAATTTTAAACTCAACTGCGTGTATCGAGAAAGAGACATAGATATGTTGGTAGACCAACTATTTCATACTCTTAAAAGCAGAGAAGAAAATAAAGAGGAATCTGACAACACTTACTATAGTCCTACCTGGGCTGTGCATCACCAAAATGTACATCAACTTGTGCATATCATCCGCGCATTTCTCATTCCTGGTGGACACGGGGCTCTGTTTGGAGCAGCAAAGAAAACAGGCAGAAAGACCATTGTACGCCTAGCAGCCACTCTGTTGGGATATCAACTAATTGAGGTTCATCCTGAAAATGAGGCCAAGTTGTGGGAAATGATTAAAGGGGCCCGTAGCCACATTGGGGTGGGTGGACATTTGGTTCTACTGGTTCACGAAGACACTAGCCAGGCTCTTAAGGATGAGCTGCTCATAATCATGGCGAATGGAAGCTTCCCTGGACTGTATTCAGATGAGGAACTGAAGAATTTGACGAAGGATGCCAGAGCTCTTGAAATGTAGAGTATAAGTTTCCATTACATTTTATATCACGCACTTGAGATACTGATGTCGTTTCAATTGCATGTTTAATTATGCGTAGTAATTTGTGTTCATCATTTTGTATCTGATTTTTAAAATCTTTTTAAATTTTTATACTTAGATTTCTTGTGATTTTGCAGCAGATCATGTCACTGAAAAAAGGAATGCATTGACTATAAATTTCACGCAGATACTGAAAAATCTATAATTATTATCATGTTATGGTAAACAATGGATATTCATTTTGAGATTCGCTGATGATTAATAAAATGTAATTAAACTATTTTTTGATGAAAGATGAAATTAGTGTTAGGCAAAGGTAATCTACATGTAAAAATAAGAGAATTTAGCATGCAATTAAATATTCAATATCAACCCACTGTGTTAAATTAAAAATTCTCTAATATCAGCAGGTAACCATTATAGTACTGATATTGTGCATCTCTTTTTTTTCCAGGTATTTCAAAAACATCCAAAGAAATATTCATGTATTCCTTCTTTATCCTCTTCTCTGGGACAACTGTGAAAGACAAACTGTAAAATCTTCCGTTTTGGAGATGCATATCACCAAGGCTTTGAGTCTCTGCTGTTGTGTAGAAGTGTACCAACCTTGGACCTGTGAGGCTTTAGCTGAAAGTGCCTTGTATCATTTAAAAGCCAGCCATCAGATTCCCAAGACAGCTAGAACAGGTGAATCTGTTGAATATAATTCTAATTCTGCTCCTAATGGATTGTTTTGTAATCTGTTTCATGTTTTGAAAGAGTTTGTGCCTGTGTGTTATTGCATTTCTAGTTGCCAGGAATAGCTTAGTGACTAGCATTTCTGAGGCGATGGCAAGAATACATTTATCGGCTACAAAATATGCTGTCACACTGTTTCGTTTTCAACCGTTTGGCCCTCGGTCCTACGTAGAGTTGATGGTCCAGTTCTCCTTCCTCTACTGCCACCTCTTTGAGCAAAGCAGAGTTCAGGATAACCGGTAAGGGGACTGCTAATACCACTAATGTATTTAAACATTCACTACTGTTCAGAATTTTTTGGAGTCAGGTTTTTTTTTCAGCAAGGATGCAAAAATACTGACAATAGTAAGAAATGTTTCTTGAGCAACAAATCAGCATATTAGTATGATTTCTGAAGGATCATGTGACAGATTGGAGTAATGATGCTGAAAATTCAGCTTTGCCATCACAGGAATAAATGATATTTTAAAATGTATTAAAATAGAAAAATTGTAATTGTAATAATATTTGGTGCGCATAAGCGACTTGCTTCAAAAACATTAAAACAGTAGTGTATGAACATTTTCTTGTTTTTGTTACTTTTTTTAACTTGTTTTCACATATTAGTTTGGCAAAGGTTTTAGCACATGTGAAGGACATGACTGACACAGCTGCAAGGCACACCCAGGACGTCCTGAGCTTTAGGGCCAAATGTGAGGAAAAACAGAAGGTAAGTCTCAGCAACTGTTGTTAAAAGAGGATGTGACGAAAATTATGTTCAAAAGTGATTTTTACTTGCTCAAGCACTGAAAGGAAATGGAGCAAAGGTTGGACCTTTCTCACTATTGCGTGCATTCATGTATCTGTTGTAGTGTCTGGACCAGCTGCAGGAATCAGTGGATGTGGCATACAAAATCTGGGAACAAACCCACCACCAAAGTTCACAGGAAGAAGCATGGCTTTTCAATCTAGAGGATCAGTCACACCGAGTTCAGCAACAAGTTCAAGATGCCTTCAAACAGGTCTGGTTTGATTAGTATGATCACACATAGGACACACTGAAATGGGATTTTCACTGTTGCTGTTTTTGTGCAGGTAGGTCCGCTGTACCGAGCAGCTGTGGAGGCACTGCAGGCTTTGAGCCAGTCTGACTTGGATGAGATGCGGCACTACAGGATGCCACCTGATGGATTTGTCATGGTCATGGATCTTATATGCATGTTATTCAACCGTCCATGTGGGTGGGACAGTAGCAGACAACTTTTGATGCAATCCAGCTTCTTTCAGGTAAAAAAAAGTAACCTACTGAACCCAATTTTTTTTTTTAGATTTGTCTGAAAGTTTTCCTCTTGTGCTCCACCAGGAACTGGAATTTTTCGACTTATCTAAATTAACCGATGAGACCATTCATAAGTTGGCTCAGATCACACAGGCACCATGCTTTCAGCCAAGCTCTTTGCGAGATGTGAGCCGGACTTGTGAATCTTTGTGTCGCTGGGTGAGAGCGGTATACCAGTATGCTTGCATACAGCGCCGCATGGCACCTCAAAAGGCTAAAAAGAGCAATTTAGATGAGCTCATGGCTGAGAGTCGAGCGAGGTTGAGACTTGCGAGGCTGCAGGAGGATTCAGAGCGGAAAAGACTAGAAGAATTGGAGAGAAGGCAGTATCTCAACAGACAAGACATGGAGTTGCTGAAGGCCCAGCTTAGTACCTCAGAAGCTCAAGAAAGGGAGTCATGTGCTGCTCTCAAACTGGTTGAATGTCACATTAAAGATTGGATGTCAGCAGGAAAGGTATAGCTAAAATTGTTAATGAGTATTTCAATTTCAATTCAAGAATTATTCAAGCAATGTGTGTGTAACCCATTATTTGACATTATTTTTATATATTACAGGAAGCAAAGTTGGCTAATCGCAACATTCCAGGTGACGCCCTGCTTTTGACAGCTGTTGTTACATACTTGGGTCCATTCGGGCCTGATGTTCGACAGGAGCTGCTCCAGAAGTGGCACAAACTTTGTCTGGATGGTGCAATTAATATGAAACCGGAGGACCCACGTGCAACAATTTTCAAAGATGTCCCCCTTGCAACTTGTGACCACTATGTGGCTATTCCTGTCAGTAAGACATATCAAATTGCCTTAAATCAAATACTTGGGCTAGATCTGCATTGCATCCATGGAGATTCCACTGATCTGGTCCAGAGTGTTCTTCTCTGGGGGGGGCACAGATTTGCTTGGTCTCAGCGCTGCCCTCTACTGGCAGATCATCATAAACATGAGGAACCCAGCTCTCAGACATCGTTTCCTCCTGGTCAGTATAACAGCTTGCCTTTATATATCTTACACACTAAAAACACTAAATGGTTCTAAATAGTACCAAATTAGGGTTCTCTGGCTTGTTCACTGGAAAAACAATGGTTCTTTATTGGCACTGATGGTTCCTTGAAGAACTTTTAACATCCGTGGAATCTTCCCATTCCACAAACGGAATGGAATGCGGAAAAAGTTTCTTTAGATTGTTGAAATGTTCTTTACACTAAGACAAAAATGGTTATTTTAAGAACTGATCAATGAAAGTTCTTTGTGGAGCCCAAAATGGTACTTCTATGGCATCACTGCAAAAAACACCTTTTAAGACATTTTAAGAAGTATATCAAGTACCTGTTGATAGTGTGTTGACAGTCTGTGTAGTTGAATGGGTGAGCTCCAGAAAATCAGTAATGAATTGGCTTTGAAAGGATTTTTTGACAGTTACAGATTTAAAAAAATTAAGGAATAAAGAACAAATAACAAATAGGCTCTTGAATAACAAACTCTAATAACAATAATAATAACTCTAACACAATGAACCATTTTAGCATAAAACGGATCAGCATGATATGGTTTTAAATAGAACTGATACTATGTGTAAAGAACCTTTAAAGAACCATCTTTTTTAGAGTGCATTTTAAAAATATTTTTCAGTTATGGTGAGATTTGTTATTATAGGTCAGATTACAAGATGTGAAGAAAAAGCCCATGAGGAGGATAAATATGGACTTATAGTTTCTGCTGATGATCCACAGTTATTTGATAAACTAAGTCATGGAGCAAAAGAAGGTCAGTCATCTGCAAAGACTTCTTCCGTTTCATTTTCATATCTACGCTGTAAACGGTTTAAGCTTACTTTGCTTTCATCCACTGCAGGTCTAAGAGTATTGGTGACGCATACTGAACGAGCAACATCAAACCTACAAATCCTTCAGATATTTGTTACGCCAGCAAGTTCCCCTGGTCAGAGCCACTCGGTTCAACCTGATCATCCGGACTTTCGTCTCATTATGAGTACTTCCCTTCCAGTCCAAACGCTGATACATGGTGAGAGATTAAGGATGTGTGATGTGTTGATTCTGCAGGATAGTCATAGTATGATCCTTTTTGAAGTCTTTGAAGCAGGGCTTTTTTTTTTTTTAAATGTTTCAAACCAAGGACCCCCAAATATGTTGATGGGTGTAGGACCCCCTTCCTAAAAAATTAAGGCATCTATATATTTTCATGTACCTCATCTATAGTAAAATACATGTATTATATTATATTATATTATATTATATTATATTATATTATATTTATTATATTAAAGACAACATGTTTTTTCCAGAATAGAACTGTATTATATTGTTATTGTGCTAAACGTATTTTAATTATTTAAATATTATTAAGAATATATTTACTTGATATAGTTTTTTCTTAAATACTTTTAACATTGGATGTGTAAACCTGAAGAACAACATATTTAGTTCAATTCAGATTTGTTTGTATAGTGCTTTTCACAATAAATATAGTTCAAAAAGCAGTTCTACAGAGAATATTGCCTTTCAACCCCCAGTGAGCAAGATAAAGGCAACAGAGAAACTTTGTAGAAAAGTAAAACACAAATACAAGCTATTCCCAAGTGCATATATGCCTAGAAAAGATTTCACAAAATTAGATGCAGATTTTTTTTTTTTTTACTGTTAAGATTGTCAACAGAATCAATTGAAATTAATCTCATGAAAATATATGAATCATGTATCTTAATGAAAATCTTAAGTTAACATGTTAACCTTGACAGCCCTAAAAAATATTTTTTCCCCCTCACATTTTCATGGACTCTAGTTTGAATAGCCTTGCTATGAGGTGTTGCCTTATGTTATTAATCCACTTTTTTCCCCCACATTTTCTGCTAGAAATTCACACTTCATTCCTGGAGGAGGTTCAAATGATTGATCTTTCTCCAAGCACGTCTGAAGTTCAGGACCTTTTCTTGACAGAACTGATGCAGACTGTGTGTTTAGAACTGTGGACTCTACATCGTCAAATTCAAACAAAAAAACAGACACTTCAGCATGAACTTTTTCAAAACAAGGTTGGCTGGTGAAGAAATTTACATATTTTTTGGAAAGCTAAGCTTTTTGAAATAGGCCTATTCCTAACAGCACGTCCTAATGTCCATTTTTATTATGATTGCAGGTTTCCTTGATGGACTATGTCATGCATGCATCCACACCACTTCTCCAGGACCCCGACTTCCTTCCACACGTGTGTATGTGTCAGAGTGTCTCTCTTGAACTTGAGACAGAAATCAAGGAACTATCCCAAGAGATAGATCGGCACAAAGCCCTGATGGCTGATTTTTATCGAATAGCAGAGCTCGCCACAGCCCTGTACAACGCTCTGCAGGACATGGCCCGACTTTCCCCATGTTATCTTTTCACTCTTCATGGTTTCCTGCTCACTTTACGGTCAGCTTTAGCCCTGGAGAGCCCAGACGTGAGCTTCCATAGAGTGATGGAGTCCACAACAGTCATATCTGAGATTACCCACAGGATTGTGTCTCATGTCTTTTCTCAGTATAAACCCCGCTTGTTCAAGAGCCATTCCACTTTATTCAGATTATTGGTATCTGTTGCCGTTATTGTGCACAATGAGGGATGCCCTGAGGTAGAACGAGTCACTTTCCTCAGAGGATTAAGCAACTGGATGTCTTCAGAGCATTTTTTATCACCGTCTGCACAGTCTGTCCCCGAGCTGCCGAGTTGGATTCAAACAAGCGCTCGAGATGACATTTTTCTGTTAGAGAGGATTGAACCCTTTTGTGGCCTTGTATCATCTCTGGTAAATTCATCCAAGCTATGGAGGGAATACCTGCACTTTCCTTCGTCCACAGTGATTGGACCGGTCCCCTGTCAGTCTCACTCTCATTTGTCCACAATGCAGCGGGCTATTCTCTGGAAGACACTGTGTCCTCATTGGCTAGCAGCAGTGGAAGAGGACCTTACAGCCTGTGCGCAAAGACATTTGCTGCATTCATATCCTGGAGATCCTCCAATGAGCTCTGTGGAAATGATCTCCAGCCTTTTGTCTAAAAATCAAGGTCCTGTTGTTGTACGTTTACCAGATAAAAATGAAGAAGTGCCAGTAAGCATTCACCCTCTCCACTTGATTAATCAAATTGCGCAGTGCCAAGTGGACAACAAAGGGGTAAGTTTCTGTAGCAGTTGTTATTGAGATCTAAAACACCTAAAAATTGTTTTTGGTAACTAAAATAAATCTTAAATAAAATAAAATATAAATATTAAATGAAAACTTACATGAAAATGTAAAATGTTGCCTTGGCATCTAACTAAAACAAATTAGCTGAAGTACTTAAAATTACTCAAACTAAAACTGATATAAAATAAATTAAAGCTAAATAAAAATATAGAAAATAATAATAATACAAATTACATTAAATTACTAGAATTTACTCTAAAACAGAAATTATAAAATTGTAAGTTACTGTTGCAGCAGTGTTGTTGATGACTAAAAAAAAAAAAAAAAAGTTTTTGCTAATTACAATAAAGTTGAAATGAAATAAAATACAAATATTCAATGAAAACTTTTCTGATACCATTCTTCCCAGTTTTCCCATCACATATGAGCTTGGAGAGGAAGAAAATATCAAAAATATAATGAAGAAAATATCAGAAAAGTATAAATAAAGTTACTAATAGGTTTTTAATAGGCCTATAATTGAAATTTGATTTGGTGTCCTTGCATTGATTGGATAGGCTAGCCAAGGTTATATTAGTTAACTAAAACTAAATCTAAAATTAAAACCATTAAATAAACATTTTCATTACTACACACAACAAAATTGCTTAAGCTTTAAAATTTTAGTCCAACAAGTTGCTGAATTTGTCCGCACACTGAAAACATTTTTTTCAGTGTGCGGACAAATTCAGCGACTTGTTGGACTAAAACTTTCTCCCTTTTGCTCTACGCACATGAGAACTCATTGTTCTTTTTGAGCGCACACAATTCCTGTTTGATAAATTAAACTTTAAAATTAAAATGAAAATGGAAAATATAAATATAAAAGGTGATTCAGTAAGAACTAGTATTTCAATAGTGTGCAGCTGATACTTTTAAGCCCAAAGTATACTTAAATTTTGATGCAGACAGTAGCGTATGCGTACAGCCAGTGCATAGACATTCAAAGTTAACTCCATATATAACCATGGCTCCCTTCCTGATGTTGTGGTTTAGGCTCATGGCTGAAAACCAGAAGGTTGCTGATTCGGTTCCTTTAACATTGTTGCCAACATTGTGTCCTTGAGCAAGACACTTACTCCAAGGTGCTCCAGGGGGATTGTCATTGTAATAAGGTCATGGCACTGTTCTATGGATGTCACAGAAACATATATAACTGGCCTGGTCATGTGGAAGTAAATAAAATCTAATTCTAAAAGTCAGAGCTTTGGCCTAGTGGTTAGCACATGTGCTCTGTGCTGCTCAGTCCAACTTGTGACATTTCCCCTCCTCTCCTCATTATTTCCTGACCTTTCTCTCTCCCAAACAATAAAATCATGGCCATAATATGCTATGGTACAAGGGGTGTAAGGGGTTAGGAATAGGCCTATTTCAAAAAGCTTAGCTTTCCAAAAAAGATGTAAACTTCTTCACCAGCCAATCATTCACTTTATAATAAAATCATTATTTTATTATGAAATATAACTATACTTTAAAATTATGTTGCAGCCTGTCATTATTGTCAACAGGTGAAGCTGAGTGTTATTTCTTTCGGGTCTGGTTGCCATCGAAATGCTGTTCTCTTGGCACTAGACAGCGCTGTCCAGAATGGCCACTGGTTAGTCCTGAACAACTGTCATCTGCTGGACTGCTGGGATGTCAGAGTTGTGAGCAAGTTAACACAAGTAGTGTACAGCACTACAAAAGGTGACTTAAATAACGATACAAACTACACCTACAAGACTTCATTATCTCATTATAAACCATATGGGAATTTGACAGATTTGGAGACAGATGGCGGGCTTCTAAATGCTGCAAGTACAGGAAGATTTGTGCATCCCCAGTTTAGACTGTGGCTCATAACCAAAAGTGACAGGACTCACTCAGTCCCAGGTAGGCAATGCTCTGCACATTACACATCATGATGGCTGAAATGTCTGCGCCATGTTATAATGAATACTGTCAACATAAACCATATTTATTTCCTTAAAGGGGTCATATGATGCGATTTCAAGTTTTCCTTTCTCTTTGGAGTGCTACAAGCTGTTCGTGAATAGATAAGATCCCTAAAGTTGCAAAGACTAAAGTCTCAAACCCAAAGAGATATTCTTTATAAAAGTTAAGACTGGTCCACGCCCTCCTAAAATGCCTCGTTTAAACACGCCCCCAC